TCTTAAAAGCCAAGTATCCAGAGAGTCTCCAGAGGCTATGTTTCTCTGACAATGGTTTTCTATCCAGAAAAGGGACAATGTTGTCCCCAAGGGGACAAATAACAATATCACATGCATTTTAGGTTGCCAAGAAGGGAGGGAAATTGCTACTGGCATTGCTGTGGGACAATGGTCTTTGTACCCTGTAATAAATTATCACTTGTATTGGTTTAAAATGCTGATTGGCCAGTAGCCAGACAGAAAGTATAGGTGGGATGACCAAAACAGGAGAATTCTGGGAAGAGGAAAGGCTCAGTCTGCAGTCATCACCCAGATGCAGAGGAAACAAGATGAGAATGCCTCATTGATAAAATGTACCAAACCATGTGGCTAACACAGACAAGAATTATGGGCTAATTAAAGATGTAAGACTTAGTTAATAAGACGCCTGAGCTACTAGGCCAACCAGTTTATAATTAACGTAGGCCTCTGTGTGTTTCTTTGGGACCGGGTGGGACAGAAACCTCTGTCAACATAGCGTCTTGTGGGTAGAGGCCAGAGATGCCACTAAACATCTACAATAAACAGGGCAGGTTCCCACAGCAATCATTCAGCAATATGTGCTAACCAAGAAATCCTGGACTGTAATGAACTGCAAACACAAATGACACTGCACAGCTAACACCAAAACATGTTTTATAAATCTGTATTCAGATAGCTTTTGATCCAAGCTATCCAAAGCAGAATTCACAAATAAAACAATTCACAACAACTGTTAGTGAAGCCAGGTGTTCATGTGTGTTTGTGTGCTGGGGTTACAGGCACCTCTGAGTTGCCTGATGTGGGTACTAAGATCTGAACTCAGGTCCTTATAGAAGAGCAAGAGCTTTCTCCAGCCCACATACCCCTCTCTCACCATCATACTTAAAATCTATAGTAAGAATATCTTCTACAAATGAAGCTTGGAACACCTTTTAGTAATTATATTAAAAATATCTTCTAGTAAGATCTAACTCTGTTTCAAAATGATATCGAATTCATGAAGCCACTATAAACTTGCCTCTGTGTCTGCCCAAGTCGCTCCTCCAGGAGCACAGGCCTATGGTGGAGTGAGAATGTCAAGTCTGGGATTTTGAGATTCTGGAAGTATTCCCCCCACTCACTCTATAGGAAGAAATGTAACTGCCTCAAGCCCTGCTGTCTCTCTGCCAACAATCACCTTTTTTACCTACAATTTCCGAGCTACAGGCAGTACTGTGCACAAAGCATATGCAGGCCCAGAGAAGGGAGTGAGCAAGACAGAAACCCAAGAACCATTTCCTGATCAGTTCTATAACATATCTCCCAACACAGTATCATATTTCAATGTTTTAAGAAAATTTATCTTTAGAATCCATCATAAGCCCAGAGGTAAAGCCCACTCTTTTGTTGCAAAATTACTACTAGTCTACATATCAGATACATAATTTTGATCTCAAAAGGGTCTGCTGCCTCTCTTCTTTCCAGACTTTGCTCCTTACCACCCTTCCCCAACAGAGAAAGGAAAGGGTCTGTGACTTACAATTCTGTCTGGCCCATAGATCTTTTCCAGTTGTTCAGCAACTTCTCTTGTCCCATCTGGGCTTCCATCATCTATGATTATAATTTCATAGTTGATCGCACTAAAATAAAATTTAAATTTATATTAATGTTGGGTGATAATCTCTCCAATTTTTAAGTAACTTAAGTTGAAAGTCAGGAGAGTCAGGATATTCAAGGTCATTTCAGCTCTAGTGACTTTCATAGACAGCCTGCAATACCAGAGACCCTATTTCAAAATAAACAAAGCAAAACAATACTTTAAATGACACTAGCAAATTTACATTAAAAAAACCTGAAATTTATCTGACTTGATTTCACTTTTATTTTTATTTTTTTGGTTTTTCAAGATAGGGTTTCTTTGTGTAGCCCTGGACCAGGCTGTCCTGCAATTTAAGAGACCCACCTGCCTCTGCCTCCAGAGTGCTGGGATTAAAGGTGTGAGCCACCACTGACTGGCTATTTCACTCCTAAATTTACTTTCCATTATATTCACAGAATAGTTTCTACTCTAAAAACCAATGAACATTTGTTGTCTTGAGGATAAATCCTACCTGCTGTACACATAATCACCATTACCCACCCACCCCCTTTTACATAAGACATAAAGGGGAAGGAAAAGGAAGCAACACCTTCCTCTTGCCCCTGTTTGGTTGGAAATCAACCAGGAAACAACAGACTGTTAAAGGTTGTGAAAGTTAGCCCCGGCAAACTTGGCAGGGAAGAAACAAAACCTCAAAGTCAAGAACAGGTGCAACAGGGACTGGGGAGATGGCTTGGTGGGTAACAGCACTTGTTATACAAGCAACAGGACCTGAATTTGGATCTCTAGCAGCTACAAGAATGGGTATAACTAAGCACTCCTGTAACTCCAGCACTGGGGGTGGGTGGGAGATTGAAAGCCTCCAAATAAGAAAAGCTCTAAGCCAAGAGAGACCCTGTTTCAAACAATTCAAAGTCGAGAGTGAAAGAGAAAGGCAGCAGGTGTTCTCTGCTCTGCTAGCCTGTGTACACGCCCAGCCCACAACACACACACGAGTAAGGACCCTGACCACAACACAAAAGATGCTGATTTTGGAAAAAGGTACATCACAAAGTGAAGCCTTTTTTTGTTTGTTTTTTTTTGGGGGGGGTTCTGAGACAGGGTTTCTCTGTATAGCTTTGGAACCTATCCTGAAAACCAGGCTTGCCTTGAACTCAGAGATCTGCCTGCCTCTGCCTTGATGCCACCAATGCCCTGTTTTCTGTTTGTCTGGAGTGCTATGATAAAGCGTGCCCACCACTGTCTGCTGTGAAGTCATTCTTAAGCAAAATTCCTCCATTCCTGATTTCAAACAAGCCAGAGGGTCAAGTAAATGAAAAAAAAAAAAAAAAAAAAGAACCACATCTGAGATGTAGCTATTCCTATTAAACCTCATTTTGATTTCAGAACATCCACTTCATTGGCAGAGTTTCATTCTCTAGCACAATGGACTCCCAAACCACAAAAAAGGGTACCCCAGAACTTTAGAAGCTGAGGCATTCCAGCACAGACCAAGGTTACAATGTAATGAAAGGGAGCAGGGAACTGGAGTGGGGAGGTACAGAGTGTTGGACTCATAAATTAAACAGGGCAAAAATACCGTAAAAACAGTATACAAAGTCAGAGCATATCAAAATGTTACAGTTAAATTCTCTAATTTGGAAAAAGCTGGCAGAACCAATTTAAAAAATAAAACCTAATGAAAAAAGTATGTTATTACCCATGGAAGGGCCACTATATGCAAACTGATTTTTATTCAGATATAATCAAAAGAACACTCCCAAGCCTGGCCAGTGGTGGTAGCAAGCCTTTAATCCCACTTGGGAGGCAGAGGCAGGTAGATCTCCAAGTTTGAGGTCAGCCTGGTTTATAAGAATGAGTTTCAGGGCAGCCAGGGCTACAAAAAGAAACCCTGTCTCAAAACACCAAAGACTTAAAACAAAATGAAAACAACAATAGCAACTCCAAATACACAAACAACATAACAACATCAAGCCCAGCAATCCTGACCCTGAGTGGTGGTGCAACCTTCAGGTCCATCCAGCATTTTAGGAGGCAGGCTGTTATGAATTCCAGGCCAGCCAGGACTACGTAGTTCTGAGAACTTGTCTCAAACAAACAAGGCAGTGTATGGCTTTTGCCAATTAGTATGGTGAGTTTAAGTTTTCTGGAAAGAGAAACTACTCATCAAGCATTTTGTTTTGTTTTTCTGAGACAGGGGCTGCTAATGTAGCCCTAGCTGAACCTGAACTTGTCACATACAATCTGTCTGCCTCTGCCTCCTTTGCACCACCCAGCTTGGCATTTTTCTGACTGCTAGACAACATGGGCACAGCATCCTCGTTTGTCTTTTAAAAGCCAATAAACAAACAAAAAGCTCTGGAAACAACCTGTGTTCTCTGACACGACTAGTCTAAATAAACAGCGCTCTGCTACGGCATCCTACCTAACTTGCAAAATTACGTTTGTGTACGCTGATAGGAAAAGATCGCCCAAGATTACCACAGCATGATGCCACTCATCTGGCCGCCAAACAACTGACTCCGTACTGCTCTCAGGAGGCATTTCACTTAGTTTAACTTAGGAGACCTTTATAAAAAATTGCGCTAACACTTCCAATGTCAAAATTCCCGTCCCTAAGGGACAGGAATGGGGCTCAGTAGAACTCTGCCTAGCACTGAGCAAGGCTCTGTGTTTCTGAACACAGCAAACACACAAACTAACAAGATCCAGTTCCTAATGTTGGTGCCAAACAGCGCTGCGCTGGGCGAGGGTGCTCTGTGCCTGCTCATCAGCACTTCCCTGACAGCGCAAACATCAAGCTTACATAAGCGCTCGGCCCCGGGGTGCGGGCGAGAGCGCCGGCTCGGGACGCCCGGCTCTGGCGGCCGATAGTGAGCACCTGGAGAGGGATGAGGTCAGGTTTCAGGCTCACCCCCGAAGTAAAAGCCGAGCCAGTCCTTTCAGGAGAAAGGCGGGGGTGGGGGGAGCGGAGGCCAGAGCGAGCCGTCACTAGTGAAACGCAGATCTCGCAAGAGACCTGGGCGGGAAAGAGAGACGCACGGGAGACAGCCGCGGGGCTGTCCGCCATGGCTTTCCTCGCTGGCGAAAGCCTCGAGCAGGCTCGGGCGGGAGCCGAGGCCTGGCCTCGGTGGGTCTCCTCGTACGGCCAACCGCCGCCGCGCAGCCCGAGGCCGGCAACGCGCGAGAAGCTTCTTCTACCTCTCGGAGAAGCTCTTCACCAGCAACCACACGATGAGTGGCAGGTTCTCGCGCTCGTTGTAGGTGGGCAGAAGGACCGAATACTTGTCCTGTCGCGAGGAACGAGCCTGCGGCGGCCGGTGAGACGCAGCACCGCGGCGACTCGCCCCCGTGGAGGCCATGACGGGTCTGCGCGAAGCACCGGAAGCGGAAGTGCGTCACCCGGCGTGGAGCGTACCAAATTCCGGGGCCCGAGAGAGTCTTGGCTCTCCTAGGCCTCATTGTGGTTTCCTGGAAAGACTCCGATTCTGCGACTGTTTCAAGTCGCCTCCGAAGGTTTCCTGAGGGAACACCCATTCGTTTCATGTCCTCAAGCTCTAGGAAGCGTCTTAGTCTTCCCGTCGCTAAGAGATGGGTAACCGGAAACGGAAGTCACTTCCCGGCTACTTCCGGAAGAGACTGTCATGGCCGCCCAGGAGGACGTAGCGGCGTTACAGGATGAAATTGCCCGGCACGAGGAAGAGCTGGCTTCGCTGAAGCGGAGGCTGACTGCAGCTCTGGCGTCTGCGCCGGAGCCCGAGCGTCCAGTCCCGTTGCCGCCGCTGCTGCCCAAGGTCGAGCTGTCGCGGGCCGAGATCCTCCGCTACAGCCGGCAGCTGCTG